TGGGGGACCCAGTGCTGCCATCTGTGCAGTGGGGACAGTGGCCCCAGACTCCCCCGTGCACAGTTAGTGCCGGGGAACTGGCTCAGCGCAGGGACGGTGCCCACGTGCACAGTGAGCTTCAGAGCTGTCTGAACCATCTCCCGCTCTAGGCAGGCCGCTGGATACCTCGGCCCTGGTGGCCACATATGTGGCCAGCCCACCTCACCTGGAAGTGGAGAGAAGCCATGGGCCACGCTGTCCCGGGGCCTGCACTGTGCAGGGAGAGACACACAGCTTCCAAGAGGCCTCCAGAGCCCTCTAGGCCAGGTCCTGATCACTGGTGAATCCCTGGGTGACCCACTATGCCCTTTATGCCACCCTTTTGGCCCAGGCCTGGCTCCTTCCCTGTCCAGGAAGCTGTCATTGCCTGACTCAGCCTACAGTCGCCCTTGCCCTGCTAAGCACCTCTGTACACCGACAGCCTCCCTGGGATGCAGGCTGGACATGCCCCTCGTCTCCTCTGACCTCCACCTGCCTTTCTGCACTCTTGGAAAGGTCCAGACTTCCTGCCAGTAGGACTGGCTGGCAGTGCCCAAGCCGCCTGCCTCCAGCCACAGCCTGGACTCGAGGCACTGCTCCCCCCTCCATCGGCCAGCACACCTCCCTGCTCCTGGCTTTCTGAGAGGCCCCAGGGCTGACGGGCTCCTGCCCCATGGTGCTGGCCCCTCCTCCTCAGCTCTGAGGCTCAGTTTCTGCATAGGTGGGGAAGGCCCTGGGAGCGGGCGGGATGGGTACTTCTGGAGCACCTGCTCTGTGCCCTCATTGTCCCGAAGCCCCACAGGGCGGGCACCTGCCCTGATCCCAGCACAGAGGCTGGGGCTGGAGCAGAAGTGGCCACTTCTAGCCCCTGGAGGAGGTGGCATGGCCTATCCTACCCTGAATGCCACCTGTCCTGGCTCCAGGGGTGCCCCTACCCTTCCTTTCTGGCTGCCACTCACTGCCAGGCAGTGAGGAGGCTCTGAGGGGGCCCCCATGGGGGTTGGGTCACTAGCGCCCTGGAGCACCAGGGGACACCTCGACCCACCTGTGTGGATGGTTCTGAGGAAGACTGGCCAATGCATGTCCCCGGATGTCCTTCTCAGGCAGCAGCCTGTGCCTTCATCCACAGAACATTCTCCCAGCCGTGGGATGCCAACCAGATGCCGCCTGGGAAGCATGTGTTATGCCCGCTGTCTGAGCACACTCACTGCCTGTGTCTAAGTCAGCCCAGTGTCTGTCTTGGGCCGCTCTGCCTGGAAACCCCATTATCCTTCGAGGTTTGCTTGGCATCTGACGGGGTAAGGAAACTCAATAGGGTCCAGGGCAGCCAGGCCTATGTGGACATGACATGGGAGGGGCAGTGAGGGCGGCCAGGCTGCCCTCCCCCTCCGCGTTGGTGCCTCCTTCGGAATGGATGCTGAATGGACCTGGTGCTGGGCAGGGGCTGCCTCCTGGCCCCTGGGGAGGACCTGCAGCCGATCGGAGGAATCGGGGGCCATGTTTGGTCAGGAGGCCAGAGCCACCAGTGGTCTTGGTTGTGCAGTTTGAGCAGAGTGGCACTGGGCCCTGCTCGGGGCCCTGGGGTGGAGACCCCTTGGTGGGCCCAGCGGTGGGGGAGTGGTTCCACTGCCTGCATCAGGGATGCTGGGGTGTCGTGGGTAGCTTGAAGCAAGCCCAGTGCTCCAGATGGAGGTGTGGCCCTGTGGCTCCCGAGGGAAGCTAAGAACCAGCTGCAGGGAGCTGGGAAACATAAGGTACCGATGCTCAGGGCGGGCTTGATGGCCGCACTGCCCCCACAACACCTGGCCACCCTCCTGCATACCCCTGTGCTCTCCATGTCTCCCCCAAAAGCTGCTCCTCACCAGGCTGGGGCCCCTTGTTCACACAAAAGAGAGGTGAGTTGCTGTGGGGTGGAGGGCCTGAGGTGGTCTGAGAATGGGCTCAGCCTTGGGGGAGGTGGCCACATCTGACCCCTCTCCTGCCCAGGGTGCACGGTGTCCCTATGGGGGGGGCAGTGCCAAAAGGGACAATGAGTCAGGGGGCAGGGTGCCCATCACAGGTCAGGGTTCCTCCCTGCTTCACCGGGGCCTCCTTCTGCCCACCACGTACAGGGCCCAGAGCCCAGTGACAGGAGAAGGCCGAGGTGGGTAGCCTCTCCCTTCATGTCCCGAGCCAGGCCCCCATCTCTGAGTGTCCCTAAGTGGCTCCAAACTGGGGCTGCTGATGTGCTCTGGGCTGAATCGCATTGCCTTGGGGGTCATGCTGCAGCCTGGACCCCAGAACTCCAGGATGCGGCCGTGTCTGGAGACTGGGCCTTCGCAGAGGAAAAGCTGCCTTCATGCAGCTCCTGGGTGGCCCTGGTGTCCTGATAACAAGAGGGACACAGCTCCGTTGCCCCCATTTCATGGATGGCAAGCATTTCAGAGGTGAGACTCTTGTGTTCAAGGTCTCTGGGATGGTGGCCTGAGAGGTGGCTTCTGCGTGACTGTGACCCTGGTGCGGCACCTGCACACCAGCTGAGGGACACCAGCCTGGAGCGTTCCGTTGGGCAGCCGAGGAGCTCGCCCCAAGCTGCCCCTGCTGGTGCCAGCAATTCCACCCATGCCATGGGGCCGCATTCATGCCCCCAACGGCCCACGGACTCCTGGAGCTCAGCCTAGCTGGGCCGTTGGCAGGACTTGCAGCTGTACTTGTAAGAGGGAGAGAAGAGAAAGTGCTGGGCTGTCTCAGCCTGGGGAGGGGCTGGGCATTTCCCAGCCAGGGAAGGCCCCCACGAAGCTGGTGGGACCTCCTAGGAAGGAGGAGCCCTTGACACTTGTCAGGGTCCTCTGCCCGGGGCCACCACCCCGCCATCACTGTGTACAGCAGCTAAGGAGAAGTAGCTTACAGGAATAGAAGAACTGCCTAGCAGGTACACAGTGCAGGACCCACCTGGCTGCCCCTGCCCTGCCGGGTGCCAGAGACACAGAGATGGCAGCCCATGGGCCCACCCCAGAGCACAGGGCTCCAGATCGGGGTTTGTCCACCCATGCCAGGGCACCACAAGAGACGCACAGGGCCGAGGAGTGGGGTGAATTCCAAAGATGAGGAAAACACACCTGACAGGGTGCTGGCCTGGCCAGAGCCTGACTCTGCCCCACCCGCACCTCCTCATCTGTAAACATGAGCAGGGACAGACTTACTCACGCCTGCTTATGGCTTCATACCAGCAAAGTCCTCGTTGGGACTCACGTGTCAGGGTGCATGGAGTGGGGACTTTGCTGACTTTCTTGCCCCCGGGCCAGCTCCCAGCTAGGATGAAGGCAGCATCCGTGTTCGGTCACCACATGCCACCCTGCAGGGCTCCTAGCGGTGTACTCGGCACCATGGGGAGGGATCTCCTGACTTTCAGCTCTTAGGAGACCCCTTGTCCTCACTGTGGCCACTGTCACTGGCTCCAAGTGACAAATGTCTTCAGGGCTGGCACAGACAAGTGCTTGTGACTGTCAGAAAAGGAGCCTGGGGCCAGAAAGTCTCTGATGATCCCCAGGCCAGCAACCCTACGTTTTAGGGAGAAGCTGTCCCACCCTGGGCAGTGCTCTGGGGCTGAAGGACTGTGGGATGGACTTTCTGGTTCTCGAGGCGTGGGGAAAAATGGAGGGCCAGCGGTACCAGCTGTGCCAGCATACGGGAGCTCACACAGCACGCTCACAATGCACACCCCCTACACAAGCACACGTGTGCATGCATGCCACTCACACACATGCACACGTATACAATCCCGTCTCCTATTCACACAGGCCCATGACTTTGTCTCCACCACACCCAACTCACACACACTTTTCTCCACCACGTACACCATTTATAGAGTTGCAAAAAGGAAAAATCAAACCCCAGATGTGAGAGCTAGCACCAAACTTTGTTTTACTTACGGCACCTCAGCACACACACAGACCCTGCCACTCCTTTCTGTGCAGTTATTTGGCACCTACAAATGACAAGAATCTATGTGGCAGACGCGGAGCTGAGGAGAGTGGCCCTCGGGTGAGTGCTGACCCCGTCTCTGCCTGGCTCCTCCACACCCTGCTTTCCATGAGGACAAGATTGAAGAGTGATGGGGAATTTCAGAGTCTGCAGACAGACCTGTAGAGGGACCCCAGCTCTGCCTGGCACCCGTGAAGGCTGATGCGCCTGTTCAAAGGCTGCGGCAGGCTCAGCGTTTGAAATTTGAAAGCCTTCTTAATACACTTTGATTCCTTCTTTCTAAATCGAAGCCCTGCAGCCCCGGAGGAGGCTGGGAGGATTGAGTCAGGCCTCAGGGCAGCCTCCCAGGCCGGGGGTAAGCCTGAAGGCTCTGCAGAGGGGTGGGTGTTTGCAGCCAGACCTCGCCTGATCCCTAGCGCAGATGTCCAAGCCTGGGCCCTCTTGGAAGCCACACCCCAGTCAGACATCCGTGCCAATCTGCTGTCCCCAGAAGGGTAGCAGGCGGGTCCTGGTCGGGGCACAGGTCTGCCACAGTCTTGGGCGCCCCATCTGGCTGGATTGGAAGGGTAGTCTCCGCCCGGAAGAGGCGCGCTGCGCTTCAAGTAAAGAAAAGGTTGGGCGGGCGAGCAGCAACTTTTTTTTTTTTTTTCTTTTTAAACTTACAGTGATCAAACTTCGGGGCCTCCCTCTGGATCGGGCTTTTGGAGTTCCGCCAGGTACTGGCACCTGGAGTGGGAGGACAGGGGTGGGAACCCAGGTGGGCGCTGGACCCCGAGGCAGCCCCCGGCCCACGCGTCCGCCCCGCGCGGGCCCGGCCAGCCCCGCCCCGGGCCGGCCCCTTCCTCGCCGCGCCTCTCCGCTGTCCCCGCCTCCTCGCCTGAGGCGCCCAGTGGGAGGCGCGGGCCGTCCTCGCCGCGCCCGGCCGCGGCTCTGATTCGCTGCGGACCGCGGGGACCGACAGCCCTCCGCGGGTGCCCGCGGGGAGAGGGAGGAGGAAGGGGGCACTGAGCGCCGGGAGCCCCGGGTGAGGTCCGCACTCCTGGCCCGGCTGGCGCAGGACCTCACTCCCCGGAGCGCGCGCGGGAGCGGGTCGCGGGGCAGCGGCGGCGGCGAGGAGCGCTCGGAGAGCGGAGGAGGCCGCGCAAGCCAGCGAGCCGAGCTGGGTCCCCGGCGCCCCGTGTGCTGAGTGGAGCCCCCGCCGCGGGCGCGCGCCGGCCGCCCCTTTCCCGACCCCCAAGAGCCCGCGCGAGGCCGCCTCCCTATGACTTCCTGAGCCGGGGGTCCCCCCGCATCTGCGCCCCGCGCCCTCGTGCGTCCCGTGCGCCCCCGCGCGCCCCCGTGCTCCCCGGCCCGCGCCCCGCCGGCATGGACGTCCACACCCGCTGGAAAGCTCGCTGCCCCCAGCGCCTGGGCGTCCTGCCGCTGTCCCGGCTGTCGCTCCTGCTCCTCGTGCTGCTGTGGGCGCCGCTGCAGAGCCGCGCAGGTAAGGGCGCCGGGGCCGGGCGCAGGGCCGAGGAGCTGGGGGCGCTGTCACCCGGGCGCTTGACGCCGCCTCCTCCGCGCTTGGAGAACTTTCCCCGGCCTGTGGAATGCACGACCGAGCCGGCGAATGCCATTCGCCGGGGGCCCGCAGAGGGAGACGCCAACCCAGCGCAGTCCCCTCCCCAGGCGCGCGGCCGGGTGGGGCTGTCGCGGAGCCCACGCAGGCCGCGTGTGCGATCTACCGTAGGCTCGTCAGCGTGTCTGCGAGGCGTGCAAACTTTTGTCCCGGGACCTGGCTTGCTGTCCCTACGTCCCGGGCAGCCAGTTCCGCTTCGCACAGCCCTTGGCAGAAGGGCCAGTGCCAAAACCCGGGAAGGGTCGCCCCCTAGAGCCCAGCCCGTCCATCTGCCCTGCCCCACCCCCCGACAGCGGAGGTACCCCAAATTTGAGGCCCCTAGCATTGGGCTTCCCCAACATCCCTTCTCTGCAGGCTGGTGCCGGTCTTTCCGAGAGGGTTTCTTGTGGTTCTGGCTACCTCGGTGCTCAGGCGCGCTGGGGAGCCCTAAATGGGCTTCTGTTCGGGCCAAGTCCCCGGACCCCCGGGAGGCAGGGCGTTTTCCATGGAGTCGCTGCCCAAAGATGGGTTGCATGGAGCACAGTGAGGGGTGCCCCTGGAGTTGGGCCGATATGGTTCAGATGATGCCCAGAAGCAGGGCTCCCCGGCCGGGGGGGGGGGGGGGGCTCTCAGGAGAAGCCCCGCTTTGCAGGGAGGGCGGGTCTCCTGTTCCTGCCTGGTCTTGCTGTTCCAGCTCCCAGGCCAGCTTTCCTGACAGCGGCTTTCTGTACCATGGGGGCACGGTGCAGGCCTCCAGTATCAGAGCCGCAAGTCCCTGGAAGTCGCTGGGCAGCCCAGGGACAGGTGGAGAGGGTGAAGGCCCAGGGTCCCATGGGCAGAGGGGTGAACATGCAGGGGCAGTGGGCAGCTGGACCCGCCCAGCCTTGTCCAGACAGGTCCCCATCTACTTCATTTGGAGACTTGGGAAAAATAACTTTCCTTGTTCCACTTGCTAATGAAATGCTCTGTTCCTTTTTCCCTGGTGGAGCTTGTGCTTGGTGGGTTTTAGGGGATGCGCAGGAGTCTGGGGTGAGGTGGTTCTTGGATTCATTGGGAGGACAGAGGTCCTGGGTCCTGAGGTCTGGGGTCTGGCCTTGTGTTTCTGTGGGGGTCAGCTGAAAGTGAGGGACAAGAGGAGCCCCAGAGAAGTGGTAGAAAAAGTGGGATGATGTGATAAGGGGGTCTGCAGCCGTGCAGGGACTTGGTCTGGGGCTCCCCAGGGCTCTGGAAGAAATCTCGCCCTGGCTGCACCCCTGGCTCGCTCGCCCATGGCTCCCCAGCCCTCCTGCTCTCTGATGTCCCCTCCTGTCTGAGGCACAGTTCCTGGGGAGGGAAGTGGGGTTCCTCAGACTGTGACCGTGGCTTTAGACACTCTGCTCTTGTCAAAAGAGGTTGGGAAGGGGGTGAAGAGGCTGCTTTTGTGGATGGGTTTCACAAACCTCTCCCCACCGCCCAGGGTGGGACGCATTTTGGAGTCATGTTGTGTGTGCGGCCAGCAGGGGCGGCTGTCCACTGCACATGCTGGGGAGGCAGGCGCAGCCACCAGCCAGCTGTCCCCCGGGTTCTTCCCCTTCCTGGGATGTGCCAGATGTTTTCCACGTTCTCTGAGAACATAGCCCTTTCCCCTACCTTGGTCTCGGCCAAGCGTGGGAAGAAGCAAAGGCTTAGGGTGCACTCGGGGCTGCTCGACGAGGACATTGTAGCAGCGAAGGAGCATATGGGAAATGAAATGTGACCCCAATATTTGGAAATTGAGGTCATCTCCTCCGCACGCCATTGGTGGGCTCCAGGCACGTGATGGCTTTTTGCAATCTTTCGCAGGGAGAGTTGGCCAAGTTGGGAGTCTTGACAGCAAGTGGTTAAGTTTCCTCTGACTCAGTCGACTTGGCTGCAAGGACATCCTTTCCATGCGCCCTCCCCTCCCCATAAAAGCGCGCGCCAGCAAGAGGCAGAGGGCGCCAGGAGAGTCCCCGAGAAGCCCTCCCCAGGCCAGCCGTCCGTTCGTCCACGTTTCCCTGCCTGGGGCTGCAGTTGCGGTTGCTGCCTGCCCGCCCGGGCTGTGGCCGCCAGCTGTGGCCTGCGGGCGTGCCTGCCTGGTGCCCGGCTTGCGGCCTGAGCTCTGTGATGTCGCCCAGGCTTTTCCTGGGTGCTGGCCAGGGCAGGGCCTCCACCCCGCCCTTGGGATATTTCTGCACACTCCCCACCGCCACGCCCTCCGCCTGCACAGCTGATGTCTCCTCCCCAAAGTCCAGACTTCAGTGGGAGGAGCAGGGGCACGAGGGTCAGAGCCCACTTCCCAGCAGCTAGGGCCGCGGTCAGCGTGGAACAGCGCTTGGAGCCCCCAGGGCCAGCAATGAGTCACCCCCACCTGGACACGGTGTTTGCTGCATCTCGAGGAGGAACCTAGGCAGGACAGTCTCTCTGGGGACACATTTGCTGGCCCTTGTCTGGCCGGTGGCAAGCACTCACACAGGCTGAGATGCCCAGCCTGGGGTCCTAGGCCCTATGATTCCGTGCCTGGGCCCCAAGGGAGGCAGCTTTCCTGCTGGCCCGGCCTTCCTGACTCTGGATGGTCGCCTGGCTCACATCTGGTTATCAGCTCCCCCTGGGAGAGGCCCAGTGCCTGGCTCTGTCAGACTCTGGGCCAGGCCCAGTGGGCTCTGGAGGGCGGGGTCCCTCAAGCTGGCACAGGCCAGGCGCCGGCCCTCCTTCCCCCTCCACCTTGTCCCCCCAGGCCCCCTTCCTTCCCTTTTTCCTTTCCCTGGCGCTTCAGCAGGCCCCCTGCCTGACCCCTGAGGCTTTGCCTCGGCCCCTGGCCTAGGAGCCTGTGGGGAGACGGAGGTGAATGGGTCCACTGGTCCCAGCTAGCAGCAGACCCCTAGCCCAAGTGGACCTGCTGGGTCCCTGGGGCCCAGCTGGGAAGGTGAGCCGCCCTGTGTGGTGGGGCTGCCTGGAGGAGGTGGGGTGGGCCGGCCTGGCTTCCTTCACCTCGACTTTCAGTACAGATGCCAGGGGGCTGCTTTTAATCCTGCCCTTGTCCCTCTTTCCTGACAGTACATTCCATTGCTCTGTCCCTACTTCCCTTGGCTGGAAAACCCCTCCTGAACAGGGCTGGCAGCCCCCATGGCTGTCTTCCCTGCAGCCTGCACTAAGCGAATGCAGGAAGCTCTGCAGAGGAACGAGTGAGCCCCACACTCTGCTGTCCCCACTCCCCAGGATGGGTGGTGGGGCCTGGCCCGTGAGGGCTGACCAGCAGCAGGTGTGCCCTGGCCTGGGACGTGGAGGCCTCTGGGGACGGTTTTGGGAGAGCCGCTGTTGGCGGTCACACAGCTGGATTCCAGGAGTGGCCGGGGCTCAGTTCTCCTCCGTGGAATCAGGGAGGACGGTGCTCTTGGTTTGCGGGGTGAATGGGCCTCTTGCTGGCTGCATCATTTGTGAAAGGGGAGAACACAGGGCTCTTGCTGGGCATCAGGATTTCAGGCGCCCCAGGCAAGGAGGGGCTCCGTGTAGAGATGCTGTGTGGAGAAACTCCAGAGCCTGGGCCTCCAACTAGCTGGCTGGCCACCCTCACCCCCTGCCTTGTGCTCGGGGTTCCTCCAGCTCCCACGTGGCCCCATTGTGCAGGCCCCCCAAAGAAGCTGCTTTGAAGCCCATGGCAGGACTGTGCCCTGATGTGCGCGTGTGTTTCGGGCTGTCTGCGTGGGTGCCTGTGTTTTCGTGTCTGTATGTGAGTTTCTTTGTGCATGCAAGTACAAGCATGCGAGGTCACATACCCTGCACGCGTCTGCACAGCTTTTCTGGCTGCTTCTGCATGCAGAGTCCAGCACCTGTGGGGACCTCTGCAGGATGGAGATGCCCGGATGGAGGTGGCCCTGGAGGCTCTGGCCCCTGCTGCCGGGTCCCCGCCCGCCATGGGGGCGGAGCTATGTCACTGTTCTGCTCCCCAGCTGCCCGCTGTTCATAGTCTCTGTTACCATTTGCACATCTGGCGTCGGTATTAGATTTGCCATTCCTGGCCCAGCGCACAGATGTCCCAGGACCCAGCAGGTTGCCTGTGTGGCCTTCCCACAGGCAGCACTACAGCCACTGCAGCGCACAACTCGGAGACCCAGAGTGGCCTGGCGGGGAAGGCAGGAGGCCTGAGCGAAGGGCCCAGGCTTCCATCTTGGTTCCAGCTCCCCAGGCTGTGCAGTCAGGACCTCGTGTCTCAGCTTACCCATGTGTGGGAAGGGCATGCTGACCAGGATTTGGGCAGGGGCTCCACACACAACTCAGAAAGTAGGAGTGAGCCCTGACATCAGCCTTATGACGTGGGGTCCCTGAGGCAGCGGGGAGGAGGTTCCATCACGGGCTTTTGGCCCCCTGCTTCCCGGCTGCATCCAGCCTCCCTCTCGAGGGAGGGTGGCAGGGTCACTCCCTCATGGGGTGATGGGAAATGGACCCCTGGAGTCTGTCTGGCCACACACTGCAGCTCCCCTGCCATGGCTGTCCTGGCCCCCTGTCGTTCAGCGTGCCCCCATCCCCCCCTTCGTGGCCACCTCTCTCCACCAAGGAGCTGGGGCCCAGAGGGAACTCCGGCCTCTCCCCAGGGCATTCTAGGGCGGCCCCAGCCCCAGCTCCTAGGCGGACACTTGCGGGCCATATGCTTGCCGGAGTCTGGTGTAGGTGGCGGCCTCTGTGTGTCATCTCTGTCACACCGTCCAAGCCACCAGCCCATCAGCTTCCTATCAGTGCAGTCATTTATCTGGAAGCGTCCCAGCCTTAGGAGTAACCCCGCATTAGTGGTAAATGTCACCAGCGCGTTCCGTGACTCAGACCTCAGCCATGGAACCACAGTCTGACCCACTTTTCTTAAAATGTAATTATGCAGAGCTGGTGTGTGTGGG